GGTGAGCCTGGGTCCCAGGCCTCCTCTGTTCATCCTGAGGGCGGACCCCGACCCACCTCCCTGAGCTTCTGTGAGGATTAAACACTTTCTGGGAAGTGCTTTCTCATGCACCAACGCCTGGCAATGTGGCACGTGCTTGTTCTGGGAGGGCAGGCAGGGAGGGAGAGAGGGAAACGGGGCTGTGGCCGTCCCCCCGACCGTGTGGGACCCCGGTGGGTGAGGACCGATGAGGGAAAGAGGACACTGTGGATGAGGAGGGTGGACAACTCCGGGGACAAGGGAGGAGGCCGGGGAGGGACCAGCTCCAAGCGATTCTGCAAGGGCTTCCAGGGCCTCTTCTGCAAGACAAGCAGCCCCTGCCCCAAAGCAGGCCCAGCGCCCGCCCTGTCCTGAGCGTAGGAGGGTCCAGATGGGAAGTCCCGAGTTAGTACAGCCTTGAACCAGGCCTGCTTCCTGCCCCAGTTTCCCTGTGCGCCAAGGCGGGGTTATCTAGCCTCCTAGGAACGGGGTGGGCAACAAACGCCGTGGGAGAGGAGAGAGTGCAGGCACCTCCCCTGCGGCCGTCTCCTCATCCCCAGCAGAGGTTTGGACAAGTGGCCTCTGACCCCCTCCAGCCCTGAGATGCTTGCGCAGAGACAGAGGTGCCAAGATTGCTGGGAATCCTGACGCCCTCACAGGCGGCTCCTCGGTTCTCAGGACCTCTGCCCTCTCTCTGTCCCAGCACTCGCACACACTCCGTGACATATCCTCTCATCAAATCTCAAGGGGACAGCTGGCCTTCCCAGCTGGATGGCAAGTTCAAGGGTGGCTCATGCCCTTGGTTCCCCCCACAGAGGCTTGCACAAGGCTGGTAGCGTCAGAAGGGCGGGGAGAAACAGGGACGAGAGGGATGAGAGCCTCTGCTCCGTGGGGGGCCTGGCCTCCCTGCCTCATCCTCCACCACCAGCGAGCTGCCCACTTTCTGAGCCTGCCTTCTGCAGGCTGAGTGTCCACCACTGGTGTGGCTGCTGGGGAAGGACGGCCTCCTAGGAGCACGGGTGCCTGAGGGCTGAGGCCCGGGGGCTGCTGCCACCCCGGATCCTGCCCCACTGGGGCTGGAAGCACGAAGTCCTGCACGGCGCTGGCAGGCTGCCCCTTGAGGTTTAGCAAGGCCTCCCAGTCTCTTGCCCGATGTCTGTCGTTAGGGATAGTTAGTCCTATGCCTGATCAATGGACTAACTAGGTGCTTTCAAAACAGCTCTGCTAGCACCACGGCCCTCTGTCTGTAGAGAGCCCAGTAGGATGTCTCTGCCAAGAAAGGCAGCCCAGAGATGTAGAGGAAACAAGCCAGAGAGGGAGTGGGCTTTGACTCTGCCGCCTTTTTCTTTTGAATTTATGGAGCACCTACTATGTGCCAGTCACTGTGCGAGGTGCTTCGGTCCCTGGCAGGTCTCAATCTAAGAAAAGCTCAGGAAAGAACTCTGAAAATAAAATTTTAAAATGTGTATATTCGGAGAGCGAGCCTCACAAAGTTGTGTGATGAGCAGCACGGATCTTATGGTCCCCGCCTTTCAGATGAGTTGCACGGCTCTGCCCAAATCCCACATCACATGAGCTTGCCTCTCTAGCTTCAGGTGTCTCACCTGCAACACCAGTGACACTTTGGAGCCACAAAATTCTGTTGGGGGAAGGGCAGTCCTACACATTAAGGATGTTAGCAGCACCTCTGGCCTCCACATGCCAGTAGCACCCCTCGAGATGAGACAACCAAAAATGTCTCCAGATGTTGCCAGATGTCCCCGGGGGTGGGGGTGGGGTAGGGAGAGAAGGGCTCCAATTGCCCCAGTGGAGCAGGCCAGCTCTGCCTTGCAGCCCTGAAGTCCCCGGAGTGTTTGCATGTGCGTCCCCCCTAAAACTGTGCTTTGGCCCAGAGTGGTTGGCTGACTTGTCAACGATTGTGCTTTCTGTGACTGACATAATAGCATCTTCCATCGTTGTTCTAATTACCTTGTTAGCTCTACCCGCCTGGTCTTCCTGGAGCAGGTGTGTTAACGCGCACACATCTGCCTTACCCCACTCCGCGCGCCATCACGTCTCCTCCCAATCTGTTCCCCTTCCTTCCGTCTCAGTTAAGTCCTGTGTGGAGAGCATCATCGGACATACCTGTGTGGGCCCAGCAGTGTCCCCACCTCTGAAGGCAGCCAGCGGGGCTGAGAGCGGAGAGCCTGCCACGCCCCTCAGGGCAGGCCTGGGGGGGCGGGGGGGGGGAGCTGCCACCTGGAGCGTCAGGACCCCACTCAGCAAACATCCACAGAGGCCTCTCTGCAGCTAATTCGCCCCTCCGTGTGCCGTGGACATAGCTTGTGGTGCGCTGTGCACCACAGTCAATCACCTCGCCTGGAGGTCCCCGCGGTGCCACTGTGATCCTCTGCACGGCTGTTTCAGTGGCAGGAGCCTCGGTGCAGAGCAGGCCCTCCGGGCGGAACCAGACCAAGGTTGGGAGGACCTAGAGAAGGTCAGGAGGCGGCAGGCACAGATGCCAGAGCGTTCCTAGGCTGCGTGATCGCTAGGTCAGCCAGGAGGCCTAGGAAAATTAGAATTACCAGAACACCCTCCCCTCCCCTCCCCCGCGGACTTTCGGCTTCCCAGCTGTGACCTGAGGAAGGCCCTGGGTACCAGCTCCGGCAGCATCTGCTGCCACCTGGCACAGTAGGTACCCATTCCATCCTGGGGGCTCCCGAGCCTGAAGAGCTGTATCTGCTAAACACGTATTTGGTAAAGATTGAAAACGTGGCAGTCGCCTGATCGAATAAGCCAGGCTGACTGATGCGGGGGTGGCGGGGTCTCCAGAACGGATCAGGACCTTTTGGTCAGTTCCGACGGCTGGGACTCCGTGGGAGGCAACAGGATTCTACTCGCTGCTGTTTAGTGGCTTCAGGACTGGGTTTATCAGGAGTCCCTCCTCCTCCAACCGATTCCTCCAGGAAGGTTCTCCTTTCAGTGTGTGTCCTTGGTGGACAGTCTCCATCTCCCCACCTCTCCACACCGGGCGGGCCCAGGTCTGGGGCTGCCCAGGGATGACCCCATCTGCACATTTCCTTTCAAAAGGCCAACACCAAAGCAGGGGAGAAAGGGACGGGCCTGGAAGGGAGGGAATTGGTCCAAAGTCACCCCGCGGGTAATGGAAAGGGCTAGAATCTGGTTGTCCAGGCCCTCTTAGAGCCCTGGCATGTGGCCTCTCCGAGTGACAGCCTGCTGGAGACAAGTTCTCATCAGAAAAGTGGCTAAAGTTAGGCATTGTCCGCAGCCTCTCAAAAGCACCTGCAGGAACAGTTGTCCACGTCCAAGGAGACCAGCGAGGACCTGCCACGGAAGCCAGCAAATGTGTGGGAAAGACAAGAGCAGGCAGTGTGCCCGAAGAGGCCACGGTCCTCGGGGCCCCACCCAGGGAAAGAGCCATCCTGTGCTCAGAGCAAGACCCGGGCCTTGGGATTCTCCTTTCCTGCGTGCCGCTTGGACTCCCTGGAAGTGGGGTGATTGGACAAGGAAAGGCACTTCGCTGCAGTATGAGTCATCTGTTCGTTCAATGGCTGTTTATGGGGCAGTGGGCCTGGGGAGGCATGGTGAGCAAGGAAGGCCATTGTGCCACTGGCCGAGTTAAGGGGGATGGATAGGCTGCTTACTGTGATCTTAGCTGAGGCACTTGACGGCGAGAGGACGGGCTTCAGAACGGGCAGGCTCTGGGGAGTACAGCTCTCAGCACAGAGGCTGGCGTGTGGGAGGGGCTCAGCAACCAGCGGTGCTTCGGGGGATGTGTTGTATCGGGGCCTTGATCATTTCCCTGTTGGGACATTCTCCCCTGGCTTCTCTC